TGCGTCAAGGTTCCTTCGTGCTGTGGCTGCATTGGTAATACTATTGTCTTTTGCAGCTCGACTTCGTAAATCGTATCGGAGTGGCTGCATGAAGGCTGCCACAGTGATTTGTTGGCAGATTTTCTTCATTTTGGCGCTAGTGAATTTCCTTCTAAAAATTCTTTTAAAAAGTGCTTCAAAATCGTCTTTTTTTCGCTCTGGCGTCGAGATCCGGTTTTGGAGCTGCAATTTCCGACCCAGTTGCGCGTAGTTCTATTGTGTTTTGCAACTCAGTCTCTGCAGATCGCATTGTAATTGCTGCGTCAAGGTTGCTTCTTGCCACGGCTGCATGCGTAATACTATTGTCTTTTGCAGCTGGACTTCGTAAATCGTATTGGAGTGGCTGCATGAAGGCTGCCACAGTGATTTGTTGGCAGATTTTCTTCATTTTGGCGCTAGTGAATTTCCTTCTAAAAATTCTTTTAAAAAGTGCTTCAAAATCGTCTTTTTTTCGCTCTGGCGTCGAGATCCGGTTTTGGAGCTACAATTTCCGACGCCGTTGCGCGTAGTTCTGTTGTGTTTTGCAACTCAGTCTCTGCAGATCGCATTGTAATGGCTGCGTCAAGGTTGCTTCTTGCCACGGCTGCATGCGTAATACTATTGTCTTTTGCAGCTGGACTTCGTAAATCGTATTGAAGTGGCTGCATGAAGGCTGCGACAGTGATTTGTCAGCAGATTTTCTCCATTTTGGCGCTAGTAATTTTCCTTTTAAAAATCCTTTTAAAAAGTGCTTCAAAATCGTCTTTTTTTCGCTTTGGCGCCGAGATCCGGTTTTGAAGCTGCAATTTCCGACCCAGTTGCGCGTAGTTCTATTGTGTTTTGCAACTCAGTCTTTGCAGATCGCATTGTAATGGCTGCGTCAAGGTTGCTTGGTGCCGCGGCTGCATGCGCAATACTAGTGTCTTTTGCAACTGGACTTCGTAAATCGTATTGGAGTGGCTGCATGAAGGCTGCGACAGTGATTTGTCAGCAGATTTTCTCCATTTTGGCGCTAGTGATTTTCCTTAATTCTTTTAAAAAGTGCTTCAAAATCGTCTTTTTTTCGCTCTGGCGTCGAGATCCGGTTTTGGAGCTGCAATTTCCGACCCAGTTGCGCGTAGTTCTATTGTGTTTTGCAACTCAGTCTCTGCAGATCGCCTTGTAATGGCTGCGTCAAGGTTGCTTCGTGCTGTGGCTGCATGCGTAATACCATTGTCTTTTCCAGCTGGATCTCGTAAATCGTATTGGAGTGGCTGCATGAAGGCTGCGACAGTGATTAGTAGTAGTGCTGGGAATTGATTAATGAAAGCTTAATAGATAACATATGAGAAGGGACGAGATGAGAAGAGATGAGCTGGGATAAGGTGAGAAGAGCTCAGATGAGATGAAGTGTGGAGTGTGAAGAGTGCAGTGTGAAGTGTGGGGCGTGAAGAGTGCAGTGTGAAGTGTGAAGTGTGAAGTTTGGAGTGTGAAGGAAGCAGTGAGAAGTGAGAAGTGTGAAGTGTGGACTGTGAAGTGTGGAGTGCGCAATTTCGAGTGCAAAGAGTGCAGTGTGAAGTGTGGAGTGTGAAGTTTGGAGTGTGAAGGAAGCAGTGAGAAGTGAGAAGTGTGAAGTGTGGACTGTGAAGTGTGAAGTGTGGAGTGTGAAGTTTCAGTTTGGAGTGCGAAGAGCGCAGTGTGAAGTGTGAGGTTTGGAGTGTGAAGGAAGCAGTGAGAAGTGAGAAATGAGAAGTGTGAAGTGTGAAGTGTGAGTGAAGTGTGGGGTGTGAAGTGCGAAGTGAGAAGTGTGAAGTGTGAAGTTTGGAGTGTGAAGTTTGGAGTGGGAAGGAAGCAGTGAGAAGTGTGAAGTGTGGACTGTGAAGTGCGGAGTGTGAAGTGCGAAGTGAGAAGTGTGAAGTTTGGAGTGTGAAGGAAGCAGTGAGAAGTGTGAAGTGTGGACTGTGAAGTGTGAAGTGCGAAGTGAGAAGTGTGAAGTTTGGAGTGTGAAGGAAGCAGTGAGAAGTGTGAAGTGTGGACTGTGAAGTGTGAAGTACGAAGTGTGAAGTTTGGAGTGTGAAGGAAGCAGTGAGAAGTGAGAAGTGTGGAGTGTGAAGTGTGGACTGTGAAATGTGGACTGTGAAGTGTGGAGTGTGAAGTGCGAAGTGAGAAGAAAGCAGTGGGAAGTGAGAAGTGTGAACTGTGAAGTGTGAAGTGTGGAGTGTGAAGTGTGGAGTGTGAAGTTTAAGTTTGGAGTGCGAAGAGCGCAGTGTGAAGTGTGAAGTGTGAGGTTTGGAGTGTGAAGGCAGCAGCGGGAAGTGAGAAGTGTGAAGTGTGGAGTGTGAAGTGTGAAGTGTGGAGTGTGAAGTTTCGAGTGCGAAGTGTGGAGTGTGAAGTGTGAAGTTTCGAGTGCGAAGAGTGCAGTGTGAAGTGTGGAGTGCGAAGTGTGGAGTGTGAAGACTTTGCTTCGTCTCTCGCTGAAAAAAAAGCCGCTTGTCGAGTGAAGGACACGGTCGGGACAGGGTGTCTCTGAACTATAGGTCATTTATGTTTGGGAAACTTCCGCCGCCGGCTTGCCCGGGTCTATGTTATGTTGAGCATTTTTTTGGGTACTCAAATGTTACCCTGTGGTTATTTAACATAGCCATGGATAATGGCCCATTTATAGATGGTTTACCTATTATATACAAATGGTGATTTTTCATGGCTATGTCAAATAACCACAGGGTATATACCTATCATCATATTCCATACGGATCCACCCATACAGTAGCTTCTGGATCCATAGGGATGAGTTCGGACGACGATCGTCAGCTCCAAGATCCCCGGAAGAATAAGCCCATGGACAATGAATTCGGTTGCTAAAATGATACCCCAATGATCCACAACCCAACGGTTTAGCACAATTTATGTCGAAATTTATGGGTTCATCATTTCCATTAGGCGTTTTTCTATAGTTCTTCCAAATTTGATTTGCATCCTTTTGGTGATCTAAGCCTTGGGCCATGGCACATACAATGGAATCTCCCCAGATCAATGGGTTGCAAACCGCTAAGTAAGTGAGAGGGTTCTAATAAATCATCAAACATTTGGGTAAACCAATTGGTGAAGGATATTCCAATACTAAGTTGTCTTTTGCCATGCTTCTGTGAATACATGGAGGTGTCCTAAAATGGGGTACCCCCCAATTTATTTTTTTTTCAGGGATTTCAATTATAACGCAACCACTTTGGGGGAACCCCATGTCAGGAAACACCTCCACCTGAGCCTAGCCGACTGAAAGCCCAAACGGCGACATGACATTGTTTGCCGCTCTTCACAACAAGCCTTTGCAGCTTTCTCGGATGTTCCCCGGGTAGAAGACCGAAATGGTGTTTCTGGAAATGGTGGGAATACAATGCGGGACCCGCCAGGTGACTCAGATAGCTAAGTTAGTGATAGGCAAACCATGGCAAACTGAGATTTTTGGACAGATTCATAGTTCATCATAATCATATTTCTATGTTCAAAACACGAGGAAGAAACGAAACTTATGATTTATGACAGCGTTCGACGGACCACATTTGAAACCATCCTATCTCCTTGGTGAGACTAGAATTATCCTCACCGATGCATGTTATACATGTTGCTTGGCTGAAGATACACACTCATTTCACAT